AAACATTTAATTATTATTGTATGTTACGGAATGTTGACGATATTAATGTGAAGCAATATTTATGTGAAAATGATGGAGATATGATTACTTTGGTCATTACATAAACATAAACAATTTCTTGACTTTTAAAAACAAGACAGCCACTAGTGACAATGTGAGTACCACTTGTCTTAGGTGGACCATGCTTGTTATCAAAAGAGCTTTGAAATTGGTGCGATCATCTGTTCAGAGTTAAGTTAAAATGACAGACTTTTGACAAACGTAGTCCATAATCAACAATCAATAGTTTTCTCCTTTACCCTTGAGCAATTAACATACAGTAAAACTGATTCAATTATTTATTAAAACAAAAACATCTGAGAAAGAAATTTAAAATGATGGTCAGAGATACGGAAGGACAGACAGTTAATAAATCTTCCAAGTAATGAAATTGCTTACAAACAGACTGACTTAATGATGAGTGGAGAACAGATCACGGACAAAATGGAATTTAAAAATAGCACATCTGATGATAAGACAGGAAAAAAATAGCCATCAAATTTCTATTCTAAAATTGCTACATTGACAATTCTTATGCTATACAGGTAGATACGAAACAACTAACGTCATGGGACAATACTGTTGTGTATATCGAGTCTCTCACTAAACGTTTGTGTTTTCAATATTTTGATTAAAGGAATAGGACTTCTTGTGAGAGGTTGTTCAATGACTTACGTTCGGTTGAGGGCAGCATCCGTATTTATTCTCTCCAACCAAACAGCATGTGCTACCGGATGGGCACTCCGACTTTCCATCAGGACAAACAACACCTGACAATGTAGCTACGGGTCGGCTTTCAGTCTTCTCCAACCAGTCCATAGACAAACCGTTACCACGGATACACTTGCCTGCACCAGTGTCGCATTTTGTATTCTCTGGACAGCAATGTTTCCCATCTGCACAGCAAACCGCCTGTTGTGGGAAAAAACATGAGTTCAAAGTCCAATTTGTTTTCCTCTTAAAACAATTAACATCAACCGCACGGAGCCATTC